TGTGCAGTTTTAAGCAGGAGACGGGTGTGCAGTTTTAAGCAGGCGGTGTGCCTGCTGAAGGTGCATGAAAGCCATGTTGGCATGCTGGTCATAGCCATTGTTGTGACATGCATCTACTATTTTGCCCAAAGCTGCACAATGTATTCGTATTGCAGGATAAATTATGAGTTCTAAATCATTTTCTTGGACTTGACCCCTGGAATGTAGTTTTTCATAATATCTGTTTGAACTTACAATTCCTAGTTGATGTAGTGGTAAAGCTACTGGCACCTGAATCCAAACAGTGATGAGTTTTTACCAGCTGATGTCTAGAACATGGGCCATGACAGTCTTGCACATCACTGTGCTGATACAGTGGGTCTCCCGAGGAACCTGCTGTTTCATGCCTATTGCTGGGACAGGCTTCATGCTTTGGTGTGTCTTTACTGAACCCATAGAAGTGGTGTATTGATTTTGTAGCATTACAGTGCTGTGAATGGTGAAACCTACCTTATATGTGTTTTGCTGATACTATGGTAGTTATGTAGTACCTGCAGTTAAAAGGCCACCTTAATGAATATATATTTTTGTATGGCTAACAAAGTTTTGCACTGGAGAACCATTGTTGCTAAATTTGCTGTCTGACCCTATTTCAGCTCTGCCTCCTTAGTGCTGAAGAATGTGCAAGCATAATTGATACTTAGATCAAAGCCAGGTGTTGCATGTGAAAAATTTCCTGAAGTTATTTTGGGAAGCAATCAAATATATACTGCTTCTGATATTCCCACATTTACAAAATCCCCCTAAAAAATATGTGAATTGCTACAACTCTGAACACTTGGCTCTGATTAACAATGATGTCTGTGTTTTTGGCAGGCCATAGCCACTGAAAACAACCATGTACCCACGCCAGAACTATATGAGTAACTGGAGACAGCCAGGACCATATCCGGGCCCGCCACCACCAGCCTACGGTGGCGGCCCGCCTCCGGGGCCCCCGCCCCACTGCCAGCGTGGACCGTACCCAGGCCCGCCGCCCCGCCGCCCAGCTTCTACCCGTACGGGGCGGCGCGGGACCGGGCAGCCATCCGCCGCCGGGCCCGCCGCCCTGTGGCCCTCCGCCGCCGGGCGCTGGGTGTGGGCCGCCGTTCTCGGGGCTGCCGCCGCCGCCGCCGCGACCGGGCCCGCTGGCCCGCCGGCCCGCCGAGCTTGCGCGGCTGGGACCCGCCGGCCGACCCGGGCCGCGCCTGGCGGCCGCCGGAGGGCGCACGGGAGCCGACCAGGGAGCCGGCGCCCCGACTGGCCCGCCGGCGAACTGGCCTGGGGGCAGGGCGCCGGACTGAGGGCGCGCGCGAGCGGCAGCCCCCCGCAGCGGGGCGCCGGCGTAAGCTGATCGGGATTACCGCCGTGCACGGAGCGTCGCAAGCCGGCGGAGCGCGATGCTCGGCGCGAGGGCTTCGCGTGATCCGCGCGAGGAACAACTTGGACGCCCGGGAGCAGCCGTTCCCGCGAGAGCAGCCGGTCCCGCGAAGGCAGTCACTCGCGTGAGGGTAGCCGGTCCGTGAGGACGCTCGGCTTCGGGACGAGGCCCGCCGTGCGCGTGAGGACAGTCGGCCACGGCGCGCCGAGGACGAGGACCGGCGCCGACGCGAGGACCGGCGCCGCGAGCGCGAGGGCGAGCGGAAACGGCATCGGCCTGACGAGGATGGCGGCGGTGAGAGGACGCGCGCGCGGCGCGAGGACGGCGACAGTGAGAGGACGCGGGCACGACGAGATGAGGACGGCGGCGGTGAGAGGACGCGGGCGCGACGAGAAGAGGACGGCGGCGGTGAGAGGACACGTGCGCGGCGCGAGGAGGCGTCGGCCGGGCGGCGCCGGGAGCAGGTGCGCCGGGTGCGGCCCCGAGCCGGCCCGGACCCGGCCAGCCGGGAGCTGACGGCTGCAGATCTGGTGTCCGACTCGGCCATATCGGAGCGGGACAAGTGAGCAACCTTGCCCGCCAGCTAGCGTCGGGGCAGTGCGAGGCGGGCTGGGCAAGGCGTGAGCCTCGGATGGGGCAGGGAATATAGTGGCGGCTACTGACTATCTATGGGCCTACGACTTCAGAAAGAGCATGGGAATGATGACTCAGCTGTTTTCATAGCGTTCATTAACGTATATATATATATATATATATATATATATATATATATATATCAACGTATGTGTTATGGGGCACGTCATGTGGAGAAATACCGGCTCACAGTATGCTGACATACATGATGGCTGACAGTGTTCTGGCAGAGTTAGCGCACTGTCCGTATCTGTGCGCGTGTTCTGGGCGCCGCGGCGTCACCCGTGGCCGGCAGCGCTAACCATGCGGCGCTCCGTCTGCCACAGGCGGTTCGAAGAGGAGGAGCGGCAGCTGCGCGAGAAGCGCGAGATGATCCGGCTGGCGCTGGACGACGAGAAGAAGATCTGGACGCGCTCATCGCCGGCCGACCCGTACTACCAGCGCCACCCCCAGTGAGCCACCGCCCGCCCGAGACCGCAGCAGTCGTCTGTGCACCGGTCACGGGGCGCGGGCCGTGACCGTCGATGGCGTCTCTCTGTGATTGTCCGGCGATCCCGTGTTCTGAGCTTGTTTATGAGGCGGGGTTGTCATGTATGTGTGCTAACTCGCGCTGTACTTCCCCGGTGCCTGAGGCTGGTGTGGGCGGCTCGCAAGCCTCTTTTGGGGCTGCTTCGCAATGTGGTTGCAGCTATCTGAACGTAAGGATGCTTTCTCCTCTTACGGTGCCCGGACTCATCTCTCCGACGCCCCCACTCCTGCTTGCGTCCACTGTCACCATGCTGTCGCGCCGCCAGGGACACGCACGTCATGGTGGCCACGGAGCGCACGCGCGCCCAGTGCGGCCGCTTCCGCACCGAACTGGCGGAGCGGGCGGCGCGGGGCGCGCGCCGAACTACCGCCGGTCGCCCTCACGCCGCCCGGCAGCCGCTGTCGCCTGCACAACTGCGGTACGTCGGCAAACGGCCGCGCGCGTTCAGCCAGACTCGCGTCACCGCGCGGCCGCTCCGCCCTCTGGCTGTGTGGTGATTGTTTCGGCCAGCTACCGGCTCATAATGTTCGGGGGATATGGTTAGACTGCATGACGATGTATTTTGTTTGATCGCGTGCTCAAAATTTCGGCTGGACCCTTTTAAATTATTTAACATAATCTGGTTAGTTGTTGTCTGGTTTCAGGAAGTTAAGCTGGTTACATGTGACAGATGGATGCTCTCTTCGCCAGGTGGCAGCGAGAGCGACGAGACGTCCAGCGACTCGGAGAGCGAAGACGAGACGGTGCTGGTTACATGTGATGGTTGAATGCTCTCTTCGCCAGGTGGCAGCGAGAGCGACGAGACGTCCAGCGACTCGGGAGAGCGAGGACGAGACGGTGCTGGTTACATGTGATGGTTGAATGCTCTCTTCGCCAGGTGGCAGCGAGAGCGACGAGACGTCCAGCGACTCGGAGAGCGAGGACGAGACGGTGCTGCTGAATGAGGAGCTCGAGCGCAAGAGCCGGCACCCGTACCGCCTGCACCCGGAGCTCTGGTACAACGACCCCGGAAAGGTACCGCTCTCAGCTACCAAGGCAGCGGCTCGTGCGACGGAACTGGAGCCTCCCAAAGATGGTGCTGGTGACGCGCGCTGTAGCGGGTGCCAACACGGATGAGTCGGATCCCCGGAGCCGCCGTGGGGTGGAGGCATCTGTTGACCATTTCACACGACAGATGAACGGTTTGAGTGGTGCACGATGCCGTCACAAGAAGGACACGTATGACGAACTGACGCGCAGCCATAGGCCGCCGCCGTGAGAGCGACCGGCTGCCTTGGCTCACGTCCGGGTCGTCGCCGGCAGATGAACGTGGGTGACGTGTGCCGGTGCAGCATCAAGTCGCGCCAGGCCGGCATCCGACACAACATCTACGCCGGCGAGGAGGCGGTGCCGCGCTGCGACCCCTGGACCAACAACGCCGACCGCCTCTTTCACTACCGCGTGCTCATCTGTCCCCCGACCAACTTCCTGGTCAGTGGGCGCTGGAGGGAGCGCAGGAGGGGCGGACTGCCCCGGCGCCGGCACCAGCGCCAGGTCGCGCTGCACGGTGGTGATCTGCAGGCCCAGATGGCGCACGAATCTGACTCCGGGGTTTGCATTGGCTTCAGCCTAAGGAGCGTACCTGGGTTGTGCTCCACTCGGTAACTGTGTGTCGTCGTGAGGACACCAGTGTTAAGCCGGGAATGTGAACAGCCGGAACGGAGCCGAGCCGGACCCGTTACCTCGCCGTATGTATGAGACCACCCACACAATAATGGTGTGGACAATCGGAGCTCCTGCCTTGATTCTAGCGTGAGTAGTTTCCCATAGTGTTCCACAACACAAAGTCTGCAGAGTTAGACAGCAAAGCCACACGCCACGCACGAAGCAAAAAATCACATGTCTTCCACACGAGCTGCTCAAAATGATGCCTTCTAAATAACCGGTGTCGTCGTCAAAGCCATTGTCTCCCGCCCAAGCCGCGTTTGGTGACATCCGCGTCATCAGCGGGGACGGCGTGGAAGCGGTGAGCAGGTTCTATTACGAGGGCGCCGGCGGGCCGCCGTCGTGGAGGTGCCTCGGCCGGGCGGGGAGCGGCGCCGCTGCCGACGCCGCCGCTGACCGCGGGGTGCCACCTGTCCGCCAGGTCAGCAGCCCGACCAGCATCCAGCACGACGGGCACGAGTTCATCTTCGAGGGCCTCTCGCTGCTGTCGCACTACCGGCTGACCGAGCTGCCGCCCTGCCACATCATCCGCTTCAACATCGAGTACACGGTGCTGTACATCGAGGAGAAGCTGCCCGACAACTTTGTGCTGGAGGAGGTGGAGCTTTTCAGTGAGTGTGCGGCCGGTATCACGAGTGGTTTTGTGTGTACGGCTGTTCTGTCTTGTGCGCAGTTTGGCTGGCTTGGAGCGGCTCACGTGATGCTAAATATTCTCAGACGGAATGACCTCAACTAAATAACCATTCGCGCGTCCTGACCTGCCCACATTTTTTCCAGCCGACATGTCCAGGTTTTAGTTTCGATTTACACCGGCATTACCTCCTTACAAATATACATCAACAGCAGGGATGTTTGCACGCCATCGGCGCCTCCCCGTTGTGGGCTACAGTTGTCAATGGCGCGTCTCTCCGCGGCTACCGAGCACGCGGCATGTCTTGACCTGGTGCTGCGTCACGAGTGCCGCCGTGTGTCTCCCCCAGAGAGTTTCCTGTACGACAGTCTGCTGGAGATGGTCGACCTGGACCTGTTCCCGCACGCTGACGCCGACAAGCAGGGCTGCCCTGTGTTCCACCTGTTCCCCAGATTCGTTCGCGACATCGCCGGTGAGAGAGATGGGTAGTGGACGGGGCCGGGACGGGATATCCGATTATCTCTGCCGCTCGTGACTCGTTGCGTGGACCGGACCGGGCCAGACTAGAGCTGCCGTCTGCTGTTGAAGAGCTGCCTGGTGAACCGCCTAGTGTCGAGAGCAGGACCTTCATTGGGAGAGCAAGCGCGCTTTTGGGTCATGTAAAAATTCATGTGCGATGCTTGAGTGGCGACTGATGATGATCAGGGCTCAGCTACACGATCGCCATTATCGTAACAAGTCAGCCGGTTAGGAATGATCGCTGCCAGCGTGCGGCACGTTCAACGCTGTCGTGCCGGCGCCCGCCCGGCGCGCCCGCTTGTCCGGCGAGCCGCGGCTCACCACTGTCGGGGGCCTCGCTGCAGACAACGGCAAGGAGATTTTGTCGCTGAACGAGGTGCTGGCGTACCTGCTGCGGAGCGACGGCCCCCTGGTGGCCGACGACGAGCTGGCGGCCGTGGCAGCGCTGCCGCTGTGGGAGTGGCAGGCGCGCGCCGACAAGGTCCGAGGTACGGCCGGCCGCCGGAACAGCGTTTACCTTGGGGAGGGGCAGGGGACAGGGAATGACCCGTGGGGGTCGGGTGCGTCAGGGTATGACCCGGGAGGGAGGAAGCCGCATGAAACGGCGAGGAGCAAGGGAACAAGCTGCAACCTAGTCAGATGTCAGGATACACTAGCCGACTCAGGTGAGAGGCGTGAGCTGACCTCTAACTGGACATCAGGCCCCGGGGGGGTCGGGGGGTCAGGTTCTGACTCGAGCAGTGGCCAGGGGACAGTGCGCGGGGCCGCGGCCGCCCTCCCGACTGACGTCTCCCGGCGCTCCGCGGCAGGGATGCTGGTGACGCACCCGGGCCGCAAGCCGAGCTGCATCCGGCTGGACCAGCTGGACCGCGAGGTGCTGCCCGGCGGCGAGCAGCCGGCCGAGGGCGAGCTGCACCACCCGGAGATCGTGCACTTCGGCATCCGGCCCCCGCAGCTCAGCTACGCCGGCAACCCAGAGTCAGTCCCGCAGTCGCCGACTCGGCAAACCAGAGTCAGTCGCGCGGTCCCCGACTCGGCCAGTCAGCTCAGCCAGTCAGCTGGTCTGCAGTCCCCGACTCGGCCAGTCAGTCGGCCTGCAGTCCTGACTCGGCCAGTCAGTCGGTCTGCAGTCCTCGACTCGGCCAGTCAGTCGGTCTGCAGTCCCCGACTCGGCCAGCCAGTCGGTCTGCAGTCCCCGACTCGGCCAGTCAGCTGGCCTGCAGTCCTCGACTTGGCCAGTCAGTCGGTCTGCAGTCCTCGACTCGGCCAGTCAGTCGGTCTGCAGTCCCCGACTCGGCCAGTCAGCTGGCCTGCAGTCCTCGACTCGGCCAGTCAGTCGGTCCGCAGTCCCGACTCGGTCAGTCAGTCGGTCCGGAGTCCCCGACTCAGCCAGTCAGCTGGTCCGCAGTCCCCGACTCGGCCAGTCGGCAGGCGGCAGTCGTGGCGACTGGCCGGACGGGACACGTTCCGCGGGCGCAGCTGTATCGCGTCACGGCGCTGCGGCAGAGCGGCTGTTGTATATCGCGTCACAGCGCTGCGGCAGAGCGGCTGCTGCGGTGCTCGGCCTTGGGACGACTGGTCGGTGGTGATGAGGTGAAGCGTGCCCCACGGATACGTCAACCAATGGTGCGCCGCGCCAGCCAAGCCTTGCTTGTATACTAATGGCGTGCCCTGCTGTTGTCCAGTGAAATGGTCGCATCTAGGCAGCGCATGGGACGCAGCATCTATCCGTGAAGTGGAGACGTGCGTGCGTGCGTGCGTGCTTGTGTGTGTGTGCCAGCCGGGATGAATGGACCATTCTCTGTTCTGTTCAGTCTCACTGCTCGTCTCGGAACGAGTCCGCTCCGCTGTTGAGCCCTCCCCTCTTCTCCCCCATCCTGACGCCCCCCGCCCTCGCCAGGTATCAGAAAGCGTGGCGCGAGTACGTCAAGTACCGCCACCTGCTGGCCAACCTGCCCAAGCCGTCGATGGAGGACAAGCGCAAGCTGATGGCCAAGGAGTCGCAGCTGCAGAACTTGCGGCTGCAGGCGAAGCTGAAGCGGGACGTCACCGTGTCCGTGTCGAGCCGGGGATTCCGCAAGACCGGCCTCATGGCGGACGTGGTGCAGGTGGGCACAGTAGTGGCACGTGGTGGGACTCTCGGCGGAAGCTGGTGAGAGCGGTGGGTGGAACTAACAGAGTGCTGGGCGGCCGGTCTGACGGCTGGTCGCGGCTTTGTTGCACTAGTCCTGCTGCCAGGGTGAAGACCGAGGTCTCCTCGCCCCCGGAATTGTATGTGTCCGTTCCTGTAGACGGATGGGATCAAAAGCATACTAGAGCTAGTAATCGGCTTGGGGTTAACCGTTCTTCGCAGTTTATCTTGAACCTTCATAACTAAGTTGAATGTGGGTGACTCGGTAGGATAGTGTCGTAAACGCCTGCTCGCGTTTGTGTTTGTGTGTGTTTGTGTGTTTTTTTAATGTCGCAAGGTAGGTGCTGCACTTCTCTCATCTGTGTTTGATTCTCTCTGAGTGTAGTGTAATATCGTATGCCACAAGATTGCGTCACCTAGACATAGCAGCGCAAAATATAACGGTGTGAACTGGGCTGTGAACTGGGCTGGGCTTGTGCTCTCGGCTGGTGCGGCGGGTGCTGTTCGTTCCTGCTGTGGTATGTCGCCCGCGGCTGCACCAGTCGCTGGACGCGTCACGTGCCGCGCTCCCCCCCCCCCCTGTTTCAGCACGCGCTGTTCCTTCCGGTGCTGGTGTGCCACCTGCGATTCCACAAGTCGCTGGACGTGCTGGAGGAGACCATCGACTACCGGTTCAAGAACCGCTGGCTGCTCCAGCTGGCGCTGACCCACCCCAGCTACAGGTGACCTGACCGACCTGGGGGTCAAATGGAAGTCCGTCGTACCAGCTCGTCAGACGCATAGAGGCACGCTCTGTTCAGCGAATCGGTGTCCAGGAAACTGACGGTCTGAGAGAGAATAGGCAGATTCAAAGACAATGTGCCTTTGCAGGTTAGGATTGTTTCATATCTTTCAAATGAGCCATGATGAGCGTTTTGGTTGCTTTCGCCGGCCGCCGGCCGCGCATGTGCCGTGACGGCTGCCGGCAAGCCCTGTGTGTTCTCTGACGAGCCGTGTCTGACGGGCCGTGCAGGGAGAACCACGGTACTAACCCGGACCACTCGCGCAACTCGCTCTCCAACTGCGGCATCCGGCAGCCCGAATACGGAGACCGCTGCATCAACTACACCGCCTCGCGCAAACGCGGTAAACGCCGGTGGCGGGTGTGGGGCTGGGGGGAGGGGGGGGGGGAGCTTAAGGGCGCGGGGTAGCTGGGAGTAGTTTGTGTAGATAGGCGCGCAGCACTGCTGTGAGACGGTGTGTGCGGACAGAGAGGTTGACGTGGTTTCGGTTGAGGAATTGCAGCCAAAGTGACCGTAAAAGGAGTGAAATGTTGCTTGCCAGCCTCCGAGTGCCGCAAAAAATTACATTGGCAGAACGTTTAGTCTCGTCACCATAATTGTGCCGCACGGGGTGTGGTTTGGAATCGCATCGACGAGTGACCGCTCTCAGGTCATGGGAGTGATTGGGTCAGTGGCAGAGTGGTTTGGAATCACAGCGACGAGGGACCGCTCTCAAGTCATGGGAATGGCTGGGTCAGTGGCCGAAGTTGTGTCTCATCAGCGAGCTCCTGCCAACTAATGTGTGGTGCCCGCCAGGTCTGAACATCCTCATCAACATCATGTCGCAGTTCGGCAAGAAGGAGGCTACCGAGAGTCGCATCACCCACAACGAGCGGCTCGAGTTCCTCGGCGACGCCGTCGTCGAGTTCCTCACCTCCATCCACCTCTTCTTTATGTTTCCGAACCTAGAGGAGGGCGGTCTGGCCACCTACAGGTGTGTGCCGGGGGCGGAGGGTGTGCTCGCTCATGCGTAGGCAGGCGCACGCATCCGCTGGTCGGGCCCAACCCTTCGCCCGCTTCACTAATCGGTTCGCGAAGGGTTCACCTGCCACTGTTGGCTAACTTTGTATTAACCTTGCGCTCAGAATACGTCCGGTCCCAAGCTTATGCGCCTTCGTCGGACACGCCTGAGCTGATGGCGGCTCCGCTGTCCCAGGCTGTGTGCTGGCTACTCCCCAGGTGCCACTGTATCCGGACCATCCGGTCTTGGCAATCGCTTGCGAGTCTCACCGGACCTCTTCACGCCACCAGCCTGTGGACCTGTGCCCCGTCGGCCAGACGCCTCATGTACTAGTGCTCTGTTGGTCATACCTTTGCGGTCTGTTTCCACTGCCTGGGCCTCTTGTGTACCCTGTTGACTGGACGGTCTGTACAGTGGATCCCTAACCAGCGTTGTATGTATTGGACGCGTTTTGAATTCGCGTTATAGCCACGTGACATTGCGCAGACCTATGCCGACTGTGGCAGCGTCGGACAGCATGGCTGAGGACGTACACGTGATTTCAGGCCCATCAACTGTGAGCATGAAGCCGTGGTTCTTGTTCGGCTATCCGTACGTCCCGCGGGCTCCGCTCGGATTTCCTACAGATTCCACAGCCGACAAACGTCCCGTATGAGTGCCTCGCCACACAGACGCCACTGAGCCGTTGCCGGCCGTCGCGGCGCGTTCCTGACCGCCACCCCGTCCCCTCTGCCCGGCCGCAGGGCAGCCATCGTGCAGAACCAGCACCTGGCCGTGCTGGCGCGCCACCTGCGGCTGCACGAGTACCTGCTGTACGCGCACGGCTCCGACCTTTGCCACGACCTCGAGCTCCGGCACGCCATGGCCAACTGTTTCGAGGCGCTGATGGGCGCACTCTTCCTCGACGCCGGCATAGAGGTGGCCGACAAGGTATGGGCCCTGGCGGCGCGTCAGTGACGCCGCCCGCGTGAGCTGCGTGTGCGGAAGTGTGGTGGTTCCGCGCGCTCTCGGCGCTCTGCCTCCGAGCGCCGCGTGTCGCGCGCATTCTCTGACGGTGGAGCGGCTCCTCCGGGAGCGCTGTCTCGCCTGCAGTCGGCGCATCGCGATCCGATTTGTTTGCCGAGCCCCGCTTGGGGGAGTGCCACGCTCTGTCCTGCCTCGAGCCTGACGTGGACGAGCTCGCCCGCCCGCCCCGGGTGAGCGAGTCCCCCGCCGCCAGCCTGGCCGTCGCGGCCGTGGGGCGGTGCCGCTGACACGTCCCCCTCCCCGCAGGTCTTCTCCCGCACGCTGTACGTGGACGACGACCGGCTGCTGGCCATATGGCAGCACTACCCGCCGCACCCGCTGCAGGAGCAGGAGCCGCGCGGAGACCGCAAGTGGATCGACAAGTTCCCACGGCTTCAGGTGCGGGGCGCGCCGGCAGCGGTGCCACCGCCGGAGGGGGCGGCACGGCAGGGGCTTGGGTCGGCGGCGCTCATAAGTCTCGGGGGGGAGGGGTCGTCTGGGTGGCCGATGCCTGGTCCCGCGCTCAGTTCAACGTGATGCGTCACCATGGGCGGAGACTTTCGGCTGGAGTACCGTGATTGGTATGGGCACGTCGATGGAGCTGACCCACTACGCATGTGGTGCACATGTGTTATGCTCCGGTTCGGAGGTCTGTTGATCCCTCTGAATGCTGAAAGCGGGTGGCCGCTGTAACGATACGTCAACGGGACATTGAAGGCTGGGAACAGGCCTGAAGACTCCAGGTGCCTACACTCGCCTTGGCTACGATTCTGCCGTCTCTGCGTCGAAATCGCGAATGAACACTGCCTACTGTGAGATGTCTGATTGTGTCCGCTTGCTTCAGCAAATGCGCGAGTTCGAGAAGCTGGTGGGTGTCGAGTTCATGCACATCCGCCTGCTGGCGCGCTCCTTCACCGACCGCAGCATCGGCTTCAACAACCTCACGCTGGGCTCCAACCAGCGGCTGGAGTTTCTCGGCGACACCGTGCTCCAGCTTATCGCTTCGGAGTACCTGTACCGCCACTTCCCCGAGCACCACGAGGGGCACCTGTCGGTGAGTGCAGGTGCTGCTGTCGGTACCCGTACCGCCGCTTCTCCGAGCACCACAAGGTGCACCTGTAGGTGAAATGAGGCCCCGGTCGGTACCCGTGCCACCACTTCTCCGAGCACCACAAGCTGCACCTGTGGGTGAGTACAGGAGCTGCGGTCAGCACTCGTGTGATCGGTTCCCTGACAATCATAACTTGGCCGGCATGGTGGATGCAGATGAAAATTGTCTGGTGCATGTACAGCGAAGGCACATGCCACGACCAAGTGGCCAAGAGTCAAGTCCACCGCATTGTGGATCGATGCAACTTATCGAATTTCGCATGGCACGTCGCCCAGCGCTCGATCAACAGCGTAGTGAATGATGCTATCGATCGGCGAATTACCCGCTCCAGCAACAGAGCTGGGGTCGTCAAAAGAGCCCGCAAACATGATTTGTCAGCGTCCAGCTCAGTGCAACTACACGCCATGACCGAGGACGGCCGCGTTCTGTCTGTTCAGGTGCATTCTGGGCATGGTTGAAACCGGCCGCCCCCATTCGCGCAACGGTGCCATGAAGCAGGCGTCCTCGTCAGTGCATCTTCAAAAGGGTGTTTACGGCGGCCATGGCGGCTATGCTCTTGCATGCATGCACGGCGTATCGACATAACAGGCTGATGATGTTGTGCCGTGGTGATCGCGAGGCTCGTTGCTGACGGCCTCGGCTCACTATGGCGGAGGACGCTGGCCGGGCGGGGCACGCGGTCGCTGCTTCGACGCCTCCTTCCGCGGATTCTGTCTCCAGACTTCTGGCCTCAGACTCTGGTCGGACTTCCGTCTGTCCACCACATCGAGATCACTTGTGCCGTCACCATGGTGCAGCCGGCCTGGAAGACAGCTGGCTCGCCTGCCCTCCAGCCGGAGGGCGGAGACGGCGCCGGGGAGGCAGCCCAGCGGCTGGGCCTGGCCTCAGGGGCGGCGCGAGCCTTCGTCCGCCTGCTGCAGGCCGCCGGCATGTCTGGGGGACCCGGCTGGACGTCGTGGGTGTACGCCGCACTCCTGTACGGCCTGCTGGCACGGGTCTCCTGGGTGATGCTCAGAAGCAACATCGGTATGGGGTTGCAGGCCATGAGCGAGGGAGAATCGATCATTGTCGCTTCCAGCAAGACAGGCTTTTTCGGTCTTGGATATGTCCTTGTATGGCTTACTTTCACCGTGGTCTTCGCTTGGGGACGGCGGCGTTACCAGCACGCAATGTGCCACATCGTGGCCAGTCTCGATGAAGTGACCAAGTTACCACGGCCTGGCGAGAACATCAGCAAGCCCGGACAGACCGCCGTCTGGCTGTGGATCGTGAATGTTGTTTTGGCCGCCCTCATAATGGTCACCTTATTTGCCGGCGGTGGAGGCTTCACTTGTTGCCAAAAACCGTGTTCAGAATGCGTGGAGATTGTCGCACTCGCTGCGCAGGGCGGCGTTGTCTCGTTCTTTTTCTTGTTGGTTCCGTCGAAGTTCATGTTTGCCGCGGACCTGGTGGCGACCGGGTTTAAGGCCGTTAATGCCGAGCTCAGGGTTCTGGTCGCCATGGGTCACCGGCCGGGCCGTGCTGACCTGCGGCAGATCGGACACCTACAGAGGCGTCTCTCGCAGAGCTTCTCTCGCCTCACCCGTGCCATGACGGCAGAGCTCGTTGTGAGCATGGCGGAGGCCACGGCTGTTGAGATCACGTTGATGATCTCTGTAGTTTCTTTTCTGATGAGCGAAGCAACGGTTGTCCACGCCGTCCTTCAAATCCTGTACCAGTTCCTCGCGGCCGTCACGCTAGCCGGGCCGTGCGAAGCCAGCCAGCGCGTGCTGGACCTGGTCGGCGAGAGTCGGGACCTGCTGCTGGAGATCGAGTGGGAGCGGTCCGAACTGGGCAGCGAGGCGGCCCTGGTCCAGAAGTCGGTACAGCGCGATCTGGACACCCTGGGCGACGTGGTACTGTTTCGTCTGCAGCGCTCCACCCTGCTCGCCATCGCGTCCACCATCCTCACCTACATCATCGTGCTGGTGCAGTTCCATTCATCGGAGACTGCTGGCTCTGGAGGCGCTATTTCAAAGGGATCGGAGTAAAATGACACAGTGGCTTAGTAGCAGGGTGCTGAATGGTCAGTGGGTGACCTCATTTGATTCTGGACGAGCATCTAACTACCACATTAGCGGCTCGTAGGACTGAGGCCTGTTGTCTGGCGACATTTAAGTATTGTTTAACAGGTCAGTCACCCACAGATCATGCGTGCGTGCGCCCTTGAAGTCATAAGCGTATTTCGCTCGCGCACACGCGAGTGGTCGACACGCGCTTATTGCGGTTATGCGACTTGTTGGAGTCACCCTTGTCACAGTCACTCTCGGGCCCAGTTGTCAAATGTTTTCGTCGTGCGGCACCAAAATAGGACGACCTTGCGATTGAAAAGGTTTTGAGCCTTTTACTTCTAGACGTCGTGGAAGATCAGCCTGGGATGCTACAGCAGCGGTAATAATTTACATCGATGCGTATTGCCATGCATGAAGCAAATTAGTGTGCATCGTGCTTCAGCTCAGCCCGAGCATCCCTGATCTTGTGCACGGTACATGTTGTCTGCAACTGTATCGCGGTATCATTCATTTCTGAACGTCGGTTGCCAGCTTTTAACATTTCAATGTTGCGCTAACTGTTATATACTAGCAAGCAAGTGCTGGAGCGTTGCGTTTCACCGTTCGCATTAAACGTCCTGGTTTTTATGCACTTACATTCTGTCACCTTTGGCTGCGCAGACTGTGTTCTTTGCGGATAAGTCAGATTTTTCTGCAGTGTTCCTATTCATGCTCTCCTATTTTAAGGTGCAATATAGCTGTATTTTGTCCCTGTATTTGTGGCGCAGAACGTCCAGCGCACGGCCTGCGTCCCCCCCCCCCCCGGCGAGCAGAGTTGAGCCGCACCTGACGTGTTCGGCCCGCGTTCCACCGAGGCGAGCAGAGTTGAGCCGCACCTGACGTGTTCGGCCTGCGTTCCACCGAGGCGAGCAGAGTTGAGCCGCACCTGACGTGTTCGGCCTGCGTTCCACCTAGGCGAGCAGAGTTGAGCCGCACCTGACGTGTTCGGCCCGCGTTCCACCGAGGCGAGCAGAGTTGAGCCGCAGCTGACGTGTTCAGCCTGCGTTCCACCGAGGCGAGCAGAGTTGAGCCGCACCTGACGTGTTCGGCCTGCGTTCCACCGAGGCGAGCAGAGTTGAGCCGCGCCTGACGTGTTCGGCCTGCGTTTCACCGAGGCGAGCAGAGTCGAGCCGCACCTGACGTGTTCGGCCTGCGTTTCACCGAGGCGAGCAGAGTTGAGCCGCACCTGACGTATTCGGCCTGTGTTCCACCTAGGCGAGCAGAGTTGAGCCGCACCTGACGTGTTCGGCCTGCGTTTCACCGAGGCGAGCAGAGTTGAGCCGCACCTGACGTGTTCGGCCTGCGTTTCACCGAGGCGAGCAGATTTGAGCTGCACCTGACGTGTTCGGCCTGCGTTTCACCGAGGCGAGCAGAGTTGAGCCGCACCTAACGTGTTCGGCCTGCGTTCCACCGAGGCGAGCAGAGTTGAGCCGCGCCTGACGTGTTCGGCCTGCGTTTCACCGAGGCGAGCAGAGTTGAGCCGCACCTGACGTGTTCGGCCTGCGTTTCACCGAGGCGAGCAGAGTTGAGCCGCACCTGTTCGGTCATCGGTTTCCCGACAGAGGAGCCGGAATTTCGTCACGTCATGGGATTTGGCAACTGCCACCGATTCTAAACGTGATCCTCCTCAAACCAGCCTCTTGAGCCAGGAACACAGTAAAGCTGTGTGATTTGCTAGCTGCTAAACTCAAGCGATGATGTAAAAGCTCAGCTTAGACAAGCTTAGATAAGATGAATTATAGCCGAGCCCCATCAAGTCACTGTCTACAGTCGAGCCCCATCAAATCTCCGCCTAAACCTGGCCACTGCAATCTTGGGGGGCAAAATGAATGTTGCAGTCGAGAAGCCAAAAAAAAACAAATTATCCCCCAGACCCAAAATCGCCCCCAACTCCACGTTGTGGCTTAGGCGGGCCATTCATACCAGCAGTGCCGGGCCCGTGTAGCTACGGTCCAAACAAAGCCCGCCAGCGACTGGCATGAAGGCGGACGGATGCCGCCTTCGACGTTACGTCTGTGTGCTCATTGGCTGCGGGCGTGCTGGGAAGGCGTTCACCACGGCGACAGTTCAGGGGTGCGATGCCATGTGGGTATCGCAGGTCATTAGCTTACTGACGCGGCCGCAAAACGAGCGGCAAGTGCAGACCATGTATGCGCCATTTACCCCTGCCGGACAAAGGACTTCCACCCTAGCCATCATGACCTGGAACCTGGCAACGCCGTTCGAACAAAAAAGGAACCGGGCGAGGCCCGTTTGAATCAGACAGCCAACAAATGGGTGAAAGCGATTAAGCCACAGTCGGGCCGTGGGCATCGAGCAGTCGCAGAGCAAGACACGAAGAAGTAACCCTCTGTAGGATATGGATTGGTCACATACACGCGACGCATGGCTACTTGTGGCGCGGCCGAGATCGGGCTGGTTGTCCTCGTTGCGACGAGCCGCTCGCCGTCCCCCACGTTATTTAACCACGTCCACAGCTCGCCGAAGAGCTGGTACGTCATTGCGGACGGGATACTATGGGTCTTGCACTATCCTGCTAATGTTACCGACGATTCTCCCTTGCTTACCACGGGTCAGTTATTGTCTTAATTAGCGGACGGATGATCTTCAGTCTTCAGGATTTTCAGCACAGGTCCGACATCGACTTTTCAACGGACGGGATTTTCAACCAGTTGCGCCCGACAGTAGTCAGTTGACACTCTTATGGGACAGTTGACACTCTTCTTGCGCCGGTAAGTGTCAACTCTTATGGACGCAAAATGGTCACAGCTGTCGACGTTGCCTAAGATCGCAATCGCCATGGAGCTGCCATGACGAGCGACGGCGGCCGCACAGCAGATCGCATGTGTTCTTGCTCGCGCATGCGCAGCTGTTGGGGTAGTTCGCCATCAGCAGCAAGTACGTGGACATTTGGATATTCATACCTAATTCATGTTAACTTATGTCAGCGCTGTTGCGAGGCACATGACAGTAAGTAAATAATAATGATACTTTATTATACTTTTAAGCGTTGTGTATTAGCACTTGAAGTGGATTTTGTTTCGGTGGGAAATTTTTGGACTGTTTGGTCATTTTCAATGGCGACATATTTGCTTTGGTTGGTGTGAGAAAGACCAGCGTTCAAAATGGCGCATTCAATTCAACGTATATCTTTTCTTTTTTCACAAACGCCGAGGAAACCGCGGGCCAAATAATCAGCAACATAATTGTAATTTCTGTTTGACCTTTTTCAAAAGTTATGACGCATTGTGCATTGTGGACCATGGGACCTGCTGCGTGACGGTCCGTATGCAGGTGTGCGTAATAACCTGGGCTCCGGCGGCGCCGGGAGCCGCTCCGGTGATTATGACAGCTCGTGTGACCTCGTGACCTGTGACCCGTGATCTCGCCCTGCAGCTGCTGCGCTCCTCTTTGGTCAACAACCGAACACAGGCGGTGGTGTGCACGGACCTGGGCATGACGGAGTTCGCCGCGTACAGCCACCTCAAAACCGAGATCAAGATGAAGGACAAGGCCGATCTGTTGGAGGCCTTCATCGGCGCGCTCTATGTGGATAAAGTCAGTGGCTGGCAAGGCATCAAGCGTGAATGCACGTCTTTGGCAATCGCCCAGCGATGATGTGTTTCTTTGACTGGCCTCTCAGACGTTGTTGACGCGACTACTGGCGAGTGGTCAGGGCTGGTGTGCCCGTGCGGCGCTGAGTGGCCAACTTGATGTGGCAGGGTGGACTGGCTGAACTCATTCCTGTAGCATCAGCATGGGCATCGGTAGCATCGGCGGCAAACGATGTTGCCACGTTTTTAATTCCAACTTTTATTGCGCAAAACTGTGTTTCGTGGCCACCAGTAGCTGTGGTCGTCGTCGTCATGGAGGCTTTACGACGCACTCAGCTGCTTGGGCTTTATGGCGTCGCCTGCCTCTCACCCTGGCAGGAGGGGCGGGCACTGCGGGGAATCGAACCTCGCACCCCAGGTTTCCCAGACACACAGTGATTAACGCAGGCTCGTCAACCACTACACTATCGCCGCCCCACCAGTAAGTGCGGGCTGTGTTGCTCTCTGTAGCTGCGTTTATGGTAATAAGCCTCCGAACTATTGCTCAATGAGATCAGGCCAAGCTTTGAAAATGGGGCCTATCGTTCTTGAGTTTTTCGGTGATATGTCTGACCAAAATTGTTCAAGTTGCGCAACCTGGTTTACTGGTTTGTCCTGTCTGCCACAGCTCTTCTGTCACCGTTGCTCTTGCCATACAAATCAAAATGTGATTTTTCATAACTGTATTGTGATTGGTAGTACAAGTACACTGTATTGCACTTGGTACATAACTGTATTGCACTCGGCAGTACGCTACAAGTTTCAGACCCGCATAACCCGTGATGTCTGACCCACAATCCAGCTAAAAAGCGGCGGGCTCTTGCGGGTCAGATGTTGATAGGTTGGCGGGTTGAAAAATTGTACCTATCGGTCTAGCCCTTTTTATGAGATCACTACCCGCGCTAAGCAGTGCTTTTTGCTTAAATAACGATGTCCTAAAGCGACTCGAACTCACCCTGCTGCGGGTGAGTCACACGTAAGGCACACACTGTAACCGACTGAGCTATTGGGGCAGACCTGCCCCCCCCCCCCCCTCCCTCCCTTCACCGCCGGCTTGACGCGCACGGAGCCCGAAGTGAGCGGCGGTCGTGGTCTGCCCCGGGTCGGTGGCCGGTGCTGACATGACCTGCCGTGACCTGGTATGGCCCGCCGCCGTCCGCCAGGGCCTCGAGTTCTGCCGAAAGTTCTGCGAGGTCTGCTTCTTCCCGCGCCTGCAGCTGTTCATCCTAAACCAGGACTGGAACGACCCCAAGTCGAAGCTACAGCAGTGCTGCCTCACGCTGCGAAACATGGACGGCTCGGAGCCGGACATCCCCGTGTACAAGTGAGTCGCCGCCGGCGCTCACCGACCGGCTCCCGTTCCGCTGACCCTGGGCCGTGACCTGACAATGCGCCGTGTGCACGTGTTTGCGTGTGGGCGTGTTTCGACTCTGTAGGGTGCGCGGGATCGGTAAACGCCCATTGGCCGAAAGCGTAATCTCGCCGAAAGCAAGAGCTGTCAGGTTAGTGCATTGTTTCCATGTAGCAGTCCCTTATCCACTAGTTACCTTGAATAACCGCGCGGTTTACGGAAGGGCCGTGCGTAACGAAAGTGAGGTAGGCTTGCTGGCTATGTTGGAACGCGTGCATACCTTATACTAGGTAAAGGTTCGGGGTTTGCCAATATAACCAATGCTTGCCTGAAAACGTCGTCTGAACACTGGCCCTGGTATTTTACAAATCGATTACTGTTAGAATAAGGACACCCAGCAAATGGTTCGCACCGTTTGTGTTGTCGAGGAACCGCCGTGCCTTTCTGCGGGTGTCGTCCCTGAACGTGGCTGGGTGTTGGACGCCTGTGCTGCAGCGCTCTACTGACCCGCCTGTGGCGCCCCGCCCTGACGCGTGCCGCTGCGTCGCCTGCAGGGTGATCGAGTGCATGGGCCCGACCAACACGCGCGTCTACTCGGTGGCCGTGTACTTCCAAGGCAAGCGGCTGGCCAAGGCGTCCGGCCACAGCATCCAGATGGCCGAGATGAACGCTGCTACCATGGCGCTGGCCAACTGCAAACGTAAGCTGACAGGGCCGGGCGGGGGACGGGGGGAGGGGACGGGCAGGGCCCCCGTTCTCGCGTCTGCGCGGCGCCCGCTGCCGCGAAGTGTTCGGGGTTCTGGCTGCGGTTGCGCGGCGTCAGCGGGTTTGGCAGACGGCGCACCTTTTTTGCGCGTCGGCCCGGCGCGTCAGCCTGCCCGCCCGGCCTGCGCGTGTGGCTTGTAAACAGACATCCGTCGCTTGGCAACAGCCCGGTGTGGCGACTTTGTCGCGGTCGTTACGACGTGTCACGCTGGGAAATGGCATGAGCGGCTGCAGCGTTAGGTGTGTGCATGTGGCGCGCACACCGCCTCAGGCGGCACCAGCCGAGTGTGTGCCCCGTGGGCGCGCCTAAGCCCGCCGCCGGATTCCCGTCGCGAGCGATGGCCAGTGTGGTGTCAGCCGATGTGGTGCGCCTCGCGCTCAGTCCACCGGCGCGTATCTGTGCGTCTCCTCCGTACACCGCGCAGTAAAGGTGCCGCTGTCGCGCGCTGCCAGAGATCCGCCGCAACTGACGCGCCGACGGCAGCCGTCCCACGTCAGCCGGGGATGCGCTGGAGCGGACTAGCTCGGATCTTCGGCCGCCCTCGACCCCCACCTCCCTGCTGATGCCTCTCGTGGCCGCGTACCACTGACGCCAGCCGCCCGCCCGCTCTGCAGACCTGTTCCCGCAGCTGGACCACCAGAACCGTGTCATCGCCAAGAGCATTCGTATCCAGACTAAGCGGCTGGAGGAGCAGCTGGCTGACGGCTGCGGCGCCGCTGCCGCCAGCTCCAGCTCCAGCTCCGTGCCGCGCGAGTAGGGCTCGCGCCTTGCCCTTGGCGCCCGGACGGTTGTGGCACCGGCGGCGGTGTCCGGCCAGCTCTCGGGGTGTGGTCTGTGTGGGACCGGTCTGGTCCGGGTCTGGTCCGAGTCTGGTCCGCGCAGGACTGCGTGTGGCTCCTTCTGGTCGTAGGCCAGGTCTGAGCCTCCTCAAACGGGCATGGACCAAACCGTGCGGTCATGTGATCCACTGGTGCCCTTCGGCCGCACCGGGGCGGCCCGGTCGTGATCGGACCTCGTGTGTATAGGGGGAAGGGGGCGACCGGCCGCTAACAGAGGGCTCACACACACAGCACCGCTGCAGCGCCTGGGGCCGTGCCGCAGGGCCTGCTGTTCTGCGACTGTGCCGCAGGGCTTGCTGTCCTGCGACCGTGCCGCAGCACCTGCTATTCTGCGACTGTGCCGCAGAGCTTTCTGTCCTGCGACCGTGCCACAGGGCCTGCTGTCCTGCGACTGTGCCGCAGGGCCTGCTGTCCTGCGACCGTGCCGCAGGGCCTGCTGTCCTGCGACTGTGCCACAGGGCCTGCTGTCCTGCGACCGTGCCGCAGGGCCTGCTGTCCTGCGACCGTGCCGCAGGGCCTGCTGTCCTTGCGACCGTGCCGCAGGGCCTACTGTCCTGCGACCGTGCCACAGGGCCTGCTGTCCTGCGACCGTGCCACAGGGCCTGCTGTCCTGCGACCGTGCCACAGGGCCTGCTGTCCTGCGACCGTGCCAGAGGGCCGCGCTGTTGTTCAGTCCTGGGCACGTGCCGTGCCCGCTGTGGAGGCTCTGAAGTGAATGACAGCCGCGATCAGCGCCTTCGACAGTGACGCCCGCCTCGGTTCGCGAATGTCAGCTGTGGCGGCCGACCGCGAGGGGCTCAGCCCCGGCAACACGTATTTGCCGGTCGCTCCGAATGAGTCTGTCAAGTGCATAGGGCATTTTGTATCATCGTTGACGTCAGCATGTCTGCTCCCGCCATTTTGTATCACCAGTGTACAGGATGGGCCTTGCGCAAGGCTTGTGTTCCATCATATCGCTTGTAGTTACACGAATCGACGTGAGGCGAGAATGGAGCCTTGGACCATATCGCGTGTCATTGTGAAAGCCGAAGCCTGCTCTGCACGTTTGAGTGCGACGCAGCCGATGACGGAATCTGGAAAATTTTGTAACAAAACGGAAACAGACCAGCGCGCCGAATACGGCGGCGCCCAACGACACCGAACGCATGTGATGCATCAGTGGCCGTCAGTGTCGCCTGAACAGTTGCAGTCATCAGCCTGCCGGGTCGCCGAGTATGTTACGAGTGTTCAGGTTCATGCAGAAAAACGTCAATACGAATGCCAGAATAGGCTGGTGAAGCCACGTGAATAGAGACAGTGCGGCCGCCTCAAATCCGACCTTAGCAATTGGTACGGAGAGCATTGGCGAAATCACGTGCGATGCTACTTCGTTTTGATGGGCTTGGTTGCGGACTTTGCGGAATTGCCGCGGGTAGAACTCCGAAGTTATGCGTTTCGTCGCTGATATCGAGGGTGAGCAGCCTGTTTGTCGTGGCATTGACTGGGACTGGTCGCCTGGTCACAGCATGAAATGTCTTCACGAGCCATGAAAGCTTCGTGGAGATGGTCTGGGATGCCTGCCGACGTCCGATTTTGAGCAGGGTAGGTTGTGGGTCGCTCACCATTAGTTGACGGCCGATTTAAGCGTCACAAAACTCGAGAGTAGCTGGCTATTGTTTACTGGGGGCTCAATGCAGCTGTCACAGGGCCCCAAGTCTTCCGTCGTTGTCCAATGGGAGATTAACTTTACAGAGCTTCGATTGTCAGGGAGCGATCTCTGGTACTTCGAAACGTTTCTCGACGGGTCTTATTTGGAAAACGTATGATGCATATCGCACACGATCACGCCACCGAGCACCCCTCGCCAGTGTACCTGCCAGCTCGCCCGCGCCCCTGCCCCTCTCCCTCCCCGATCTGGCGTTACGTCAGCAGGCGGGGGGGGGGGGGGGGGGATGGCGACCCTGACATTGGCTGGCAACGCGTCGGTCGCCGCCTGCCAGCCGAGCGCGGCGTGATAAACACGCCTCCAGTCCGTGGCCGGCGGCGTCGCTGCTGACGGGGCGAGGACGCCGAGCGCCCGGGCCGGTCCCGCCGACGCAGGCTTGCATCGGCGGCAGCGGCAGCGGACTTGCCACGGTGAGGACGGGCCGCCCAGGCTCAGTCTGCGACGGGCGCTCGGCGGCCGATGTGGGCACTGCGCCACCTGGCGGACGTCATCAGAGGCGGCTGCGCGACGTCACCGGGGCGGAGAGGTAGCGTGGCCGGCGGCGGTGGCGCGGGGCGTGGGGACGCGCGGCTTTGAAGAGGACAGTGCGCGAGCTTGCAACGTATTGTCTGGAGGGTGCTGATTTCCGTGCTATAGAAAATTGGTCACAAAAGAGCCAACATGTTTTGATTCATAGCTTCACACACACAATGGAAGTTGTATTGGCGTTCTTGTTCTACCTTGTTTCTATTTGTGAGCATACTTCAGCATTTGCTCGTTTATTCTGAACTTAATTAAGAATTTACTCTACCTCGCATTAATTTTCATCGTACCACAAATCATATTCTAACAAAAAGGCCATAATGTTCGTTTTTCGTAGTATACAAGAGTCATTATAGAGCAGGAAAGCTACGTCTGGGCATATCGTACTTAGTCCTATTACGATGACAAGAATCTGTCCCAGTGACGTTGCCAAGACAAACTGAAGGTTGCCGCGCCGGAGACCACTCTTGGATTCGCCCGCTTAGCACGGGCCCAGATTATTCAGGTAATTGGAATCACGTTTCATGCGGGATCATTTGTTCAAACTTCGAGGTACCCTGGCCGTGGCCTTTTGGCCAAGTAACGTCAAGCCAGACCATGCTCCACATGGGTGTTCGAAGCGCCTTTAGACATGGCACGACCAGCTTTAAACTAGAAGCTGTTCGTGAACAAAAAGTTTGCTGCTCCTAGTAGGTACGTAACCCTACTTGACCTTCAGAAGGTCCAAATGACGATAAATGTTTAAGACTTCTGATATTTGAATTTGAAATTTACACTAGAAACTACGCCAAACGCCACGTTCCTGGGGGCAAAAGGTTCACCCGGTTCATTTTAGGCCAGTGACGTCTTGTGACATTCATGAAATCAAAACAAAATGCCTGCTGCCGTCTCTGTCATCAAGGAGTTTCAGAAAAGAACACAAATTACCTTACAAAGCAAGTATTCCGGTAGCCTGATTTTGACCGTTATCTGAGGTTATGCACGATTCAGGTCCATGGAATTAGTGGTGATTTTAATCTCAAGGAACTGATCGTGTAAGAGAAAGCATTGAGGAGTTGCAGGATTCAGTAGCGCAGTCAAAAAGGGGAGGGCAAGGGGTACGTGCCCCCTCCCCCCCTTAGGCTCCAAGGGACCGGATGCGCCCCTCGACACCGATAATTAACACGCGCTCGTGCGGGGTCTATTTGACTCCGCGAAAGGTTTTCCGGAATAGTTTCCTAGCGGGGCAGCGCAGCCGCTCAAAAATTTGCATAAGTATATACAATTGAATAGCGGATGGTATGCTGTCAAAAATCTAGATTTACCTTTTAAGGTCACTGACCTACGGCAGGTCAAAGCCAAACCATGGATTCAGCGAGGTCATTTTCTGCGGAATCGTTCAATCTGATGCAACAACGGAGTGCGAGACGAAGCCATACATCTCTAAGATGCTTTCTTAGGCTACACAATAATTGAATGAACAGATTTCATTGACCTAAGGTAAATTATGAAGGTTAGACCAAAGTCAAAACCAACCTGTTTTGTTACTCTAGGGCTTGATGTATAGAGTGGTTTGTGGTGGTCATTTCGAATTTATTGATAACGGGAACACATTGTACTTCTTCCACAGACTTTTTTCAGGTCAGAATATGCCCCTTACCTAAAGCGACTTAGGTTAATTGTTTGTTTAAGGGGCATGCTGTCTGGCGTAATTCGTTTCGCTTATTCAAATGCAAAACTCAAGCAGTCTGGTGTGATTTTGGTCACCACGACCTTCGAAAGGTCAAATGAGGTCACTGACATTAAATGAACGTGTGACCTTTTTGCTTACAACAGGTGTCTAGGTTCTGTGGGCGCCTTGGACACCAACCTGGAGTTAGACCTTGTTTGACCTGAATTCACCCGAAGGTGATAATCTAGGAACCTAAAACCTTCACCCAAGTGAGTTCATGTACAGTCCAACACATCCTGCGAATTTGGTGTTTCTAGCTCTCTTAGTTTCTGAGATCTCAGGGAGGGGTCAAATTGAGCCCCATCCGAGCGAAGGATATACAACTGGCCACCGGGGCGTGTGTTAAGGGCCCGATTTGAGGGTCCGAAAGGCTTGAAAGACCGACCGAAGGTCGTAATCTTGGGCCCGAGTGAAGGGGGGAGGGGGGGGGGGCACAGGAGCCCGACACTGCAATGCCAGCTAGAAGGTCCTGCGCGCTGATCAAGCTCTCTCGAGACCAAAGATCAACGGCCCGATTGTTGGGGACCGCAGCCTCTTGCACCGATTGGGGACCCCTGAGACAGAGCATTCCTCTGTTTCGGCCAGAGATAACCAACACCGAACAGTCGGCTCCATGTCGGTCTGACCTCTTGGGGTCCATTTCCCAAGCAGGAACACGGCCGGGCCCGCAATCTGCATTGGTCGGGGCCCCCTGCAACAATGCGGAGCTTTTATATCGGTCAGGGTCTAGTGCCTAACATGGTGTCCTGTGTCAACAAGTGGCCTCGAGTCAGTCAACGAAACGTTCGCTCAACACGGACTGGGTCGGGACCCAGAATGGCAGAGGACCTCTCACGTTGGTCGGGGCTCTCACACAATGAAAGGAAACATGAGAGCTTATGCTTATTGCTCACATTGTGGTAATGGAAGGATCCTATACCAGTCAGGGCCCCCAGCTCCAAATAGTGGGCCTTTCAACCCAGTTATAGCATGGACCTGTTACGCCGAACTGGAGTTTATGTACCAATTATTGGACCACCTGCGGCGATCAGGGATGTTGCTGCGTCACTGAGGGTTCCTGCGTCGATCTGGGGCCAACTGTGCGGGTCAGGAGGCCTTCCACGTCAGGGAGAGGGACCAATGTGATGTGATGTACGCCTCTAAGTGCGTCTGGATCGACCAGGAATCTCGCCCCGTGTTGCCAGAATGACAGCCGGAAGACATCCTGCGGTGGAACGGAATGGCCCTCCAGCTCTTGACCGGGAACAATATGTGCCCCCCGGTGTTCTACTCAAGCGGACCCTTGCCCGGGAAAATGACGGGTCTCGTTAGTGTTGAATAAAGTGGATCGAATTGAGTCAAGCAGCGAACAAGGTCATCCCAGGTTCGCCAGAGAACGTTAATTATCTTTCAAAATTAATAAGTGAAACAAATTAAATAAAAAAATCCGAGCTCGCACGCCTGAGTTTTCGGGGCAAGCGATGGTCTGGGTCCCAGTTTCCGTGAAACCGAACGGCGTTGGCCACGGTCAGTAACACCAGGCGGTTGGTGCCGTGGCGGCGAGAGCACGGCAAAGGGATATGGTCTTCTTTGCCCCATTTCCGAATAATCTTAGGAATAATGCTTCCGAATGTCTTGAAATATTAATTCGTACCGTTCAAAAATTAGGCTGGGCGTCTTTTGTTTTGTCCTCTGGAGAGATGAGCAGCTACGGCAACACGAACAAGAGAGATTCTCCCTTCACTCCCCCAGTTCAAACACCAGATTCCAGCACCACTTCGCAGTGCCGTAAAGGCCAATTCGTTCAATTCACCAGTCTAAAAATCCCGCGGGTGAAATTATACCCCCGGCCGCCTTCTGAATGCACAGATTGATGCTCTAAAGTGTTCAGAGATACTTCTTCCAAATGCGTCATCATTTTCGTCCATCCATTGACCACAATTTGGCGTTAGGCACCGCGCCGACCCTGCGCAGCCTATGTAGACTGCAACGTCTGGCATCAAGTTTTTTGGCGAGATTTGCGAGCAAGCATGCTCAAAACGACATCGCATGATTGGTATCACGAATCAACGCTGACCGAATGTTTAGCACTTCGATACAAACATGGCTTGGCCACGTTAATGCAAATTGTTAACCCATTTCGGTCTACGTTCACGGGTTCTGCAATATCTCTGTACAGCCCAGATATGATTCTGACATAACTTCTGAACTTTATCGACTGAGACAGAATCCACTGAACCATTGTAAAGTGAAGAGTACCGGTGATTTATTTCGAACAGTCCTTTAAAGAATGAAACAAATATCAAAGAAAGACATGCCCTTATTAACAAATGGAGCACATTCAGCTGTTTTCCAGGGAGGGGGCTCTTACTAATCAGGGGGCCCTTTGTCAACCCTGTACCCCTCCTTTGCCAAGACTGGCTGCGTGCCTGGTAAGACTTCGCCTAGCACTCCGTTTCCGCATGAAATTGAACGGTTATCTAGGAGCTACCTTCACGGGCAGCCATGGCCTGACTCTGACCTGCTCCTGGCCGGCGACCATACGAGGTCTTTCCAATTTGTTACACCAAAAGATCGACTATTCAAATGTTGCATCTATTTAAAAACCGGCGCGGGTTTGCGGCACCGTTTTGAAGTTATTCTGAAAAACAAATGTCGGGAGTTGAATTAGAGAATAAAATATTGATCACTACTCAAGCGCGTCTTAAACGATGTTGGCTAATAGCGATGTACTCGTATCTCTTCTGAAATGCGTGGTCAATGCTGTGTCTAAATTTAGCAAGCTTTTTTCACGGTCTGATACCGTCTTAGCTTACACACCAATGATTGGAGCGTAGCCTAGATCCTGCTGGCACCGTTGCAGACAGTAAGAACGCTTCAAACCAGTTTTCCCTGTTGTAGTTCACAATGCGAGACCCCAGCCTCAGCCTCCATCGGGTGGCAACGTCGACAGGCACCCTCCGCCTCGGCGACCGCCGCGCGGCCGTCAGGTTTCTGTGTGCACCCGAACAGAAAGGAGTGTCGTTAGGAGGGCATATGGAGCGTAACGCAGAGCGCCGGGGCCCGGCTGCCGGCCCCAGTGTTGGCCAGTCCACGTCTGCCGGTCGGTCTGAGATCTGAGGGGTTTCACTGGGACGGCCGTGTCGCACGTTTCCCACAGCAAAAGTACAGAGGCCGGCCGGGCCAGACGTCAGCGGACCGTTCGGCACACGAAGGTGTTTCGACTGTGCTTTACGGGGCTCATGTCGACAATGCTGGGTGGTACAGAGCTATAGCCCGAGTAGGCACTCGCACGTGCGTTTCATTATGCGTTTCACAGGCGGATTTTTGACCTCCTATGGGTGCCAATGCTCATCGGTGATAACCCTCCAGATCCTGCCGTTTGTCGGGCCTGAAGCATGTCCACACGGGCGAGAGAAGACAAACAGCGTACTGAGCCCATCTCCCAGCTACTTGATAGCGGTTCGAGGAGCCCTGCCGATTCCCCTGCGTAGTGCATTGTGTCTGGCGGCCAGCCAGAGGGCTTCTCTACGTCATCCAGCCCGTTTGCTCCCCATAACAAGTCTGTCAACATTTGGCAAGTACAACCGCCAGAACATTCTGCCACGCTCAATACCATGCTGGCCCTGAGGCTTTCCATGATTAATGCGCAATGTACCGCCAGGCTCCCCGGAATGCTGCTTCTTCTTAACATGCCAGGTAGTACACCTGGCGAACCTTTAATCGGCCGTTCTCGGTGCGCGCGACCAGAACTGCTTATTCCCGGACAGCTCACTAATGGAAGCGTGGATATCCGACAAGACATTGATACACGACCAACCTTTAGAGTACCGCGCAGGTAGTACGTCGTCTGCGCGTCGCTGTCGACCGGGTCGGCTTCTGAGTGGCTCCGTGGCCCGTTACTACGTCACGATGACGTCATCACTGGCTGAAGCCTGCTCGGTCGGCGCTCGCCACGTTCAGCAGGTGGCGCGTCAGTTGCGCTGCACGACGCGTGGGAGGTGGAGCGTGCCTGTGCCGCGTCTGCTGGTGAGCGCAGGTGGTGGCCCGTCGACGGCGCGCTAGCGTCGGGCGCCCCTCCGAGGAGCCGAGCGGCAGGCGCACCCGACACGCTGTTTGTCCTTGCGGGTACGTACGCGCCTGCAGTCTGGGCGACGCTCCCTGATGTAGGACGTTGCCGCGCTACGCAGCCGTCGCCCTTGGGACGCGGGCGATGTGTGCTACTCCGTACCAGGAGCGTGGGCTCGTCACGACAAACGTGGAGATGTCTCGATTTTTGTTCTGATTGGAAACAAATATTTCTTTTTTAATTTCCCTTAAGAAAAATATTCACTCCTGCAAGCGCCTATTTTCTAGGAACATAAAAAGGTCAATGAAGTCTCATAAAAAATGGAATAATCGCGGCCCTCAGCATCCTACTGGTGCGCTTTCGTTCTGCATGGCCTGCTCCGTCCAGTGCGGTGGTGGCTCTCCGCCCCGCCGCCAGGTACCCCGCGAGCGGCCCCTGGCGGCCGGCGGCCTCGCGGCGGCTCTTTCATCCGGTTGACCGGGTCAGCGCGACGCCGCCCCGGTCAGGCCAGTGAGGCCGCATTCCGCGCCGCCATCGGCGCACCGGGTGCCGGCGGCGCCGGCGGCACACACCCTGCGCGCCGCCCGCCCGGCCGCCCGGCCGCGTGCGAGTCAAGGGTGGCCTGCACCCGCCGCCCGCCCCGGCCGCCCGACCGCGTGCGAGTCAAGGGTGGTCTGCACCCGCCGCCCGCCCCGGCCGCCCGGCCGCGTGCGAGTCAAGGGTGGTCTGCACCCGCCGCCCGCCCCGGCCGCCCGACCGCGTGCGAGCCAAGGGTGGCCTGCACCCACCGCCCGCCCCGGCCGCCCGGCCGCGTGTGAGGGTGGCCCTCACGTGGCGCCCGCCTGCCCGGGACGGCGGGTCAAAGTCTGCTGCTCGTTGGGGCGGCGATCAAAGGCGGAAGAGACGCTAGCCTCGTGCTTGCGTGATGTCAGAGATGTGTGGCATTGCGCGGCCACAGCGGCCTGAAAACTACACATATGGCGGTGCTGTCACACTTGGGATAAAAACATGAAGCAATTCTCAGCAAATGTACTCTTCTATGCAGCGTTTTTATGTGTTTATCGACGGATTTCGATATGGCCTTTCTTCCGTTTTGGTTCATGAAGGCTGCCCGTCTGGATTGGACACACCGCAGTGCACCGACTGGATGTGCGGTGCAAGACCAAAACGCCAAAACCAAGCACGAAGGCACACCGCCAGTCCTGCACTGAACCCGTTTCGCGTATCTTGTTCCCTACTCAACTCTAACTTGTAGTCCGTCCGTCCGTCCGTCCGTCCGTCCGTCCGTCCGTCCGTCCGTCCGTCCGTCCGTCCGCCCGCCCGCCCGCCCGCCCGTCCGTCCGTCCGTCCGTCCGTCCGTCCGTCCGTCCGTCCGTCCGTCCGTCCGTCCGTCCGCCCGCCCGCCCGCCCGTCCGTCCGTCCGTCCGTCCGTCCGTCCGTCCGTCCGTCCGCCCGCCCGCCCGCCCGCCCGTTCCGTCCGTCCGTCCGTCCGTCCGTCCGTCCGTCCGTCCGTCCGTCCGTCCGTCCGTCCGTCCGTCCGTCCGTCCTTCGTCATTCGTCCTCCGTCCGTCCGTCCGTCCGTCCGTCCGTCCGTCCGTCCGTTCGTTCGTTCGTTCGTTCGTTCGTTCGTTCGTTCGTTCGTTTGTTCGTTCGTTCGTTCGTTCGTTCGTTCGTTCGTTCGTTCGTTCGTTCGTTCGTTCGTCCGTCCGTCGTCATCCGTCCGTCCGTCCGTCGTCCTCCGTCTGCCCGCCCCTCCCCGCCCTCTATCCGTCCGTCCGTCCGTCCGTCCGTCCGTCCGTCCGTCTGTCCGCCCCTCCCCATCCCCCTATCCGTCCGTCCGCCCCTCCCCCTTCCCCCATCCGTCTACCCGCCCGCCCCTTTGGCCCACATTCAAGGCTGTTTGCGCGTGCGTGCGGTTTTCAGTCGCCGTTTGGCTTGGTTCGAGTGTTGCTAAGTGCCCGTCAGCCGGCCTGTCTGTCGTGTAACAACGGGAAGGTCAGTGTCCTGGCGTCCTACCTGAATCAGTCTGAGGCTGAGTGCACCTGTTCCCGGCGCCTGGGCGCAAACCTGGTGCGGCTGTGCGATTTGGCCATGTTCAGCAGAAGTCTGGTCTTTGGGGCGTACACCTGGTGCGGCTGTTTCAGAGCTGTGTTGGTGACTCGAGCCGGCGCGAGCGCTTCGGCCATGTCCAGCAGAAGTCGGGTCTTTGGGGCGTACACCTGGTGCGGCTGTTTCAGAGCTGTGGTTGGTGACTTGAGTCGGCGCGAGCACTTCGGCCATGCTCAGCATAAACTGGGCCTCTGGGGCGTACACCTGGTGCGGCTGTTTCAGAGCTGTGATTGGTGACTCGATTCGGCGCGAGCGCTTCGGCCATGTCCAGCAGAAGTCGAGTCTCTAAAGGACGTGTAACGGCCTGCCATTTGGGACGCCGGTTCTGTTCCGTTGAATCATAAACAAACGAGGTAACGACACCGATGTGCATGCTTCACCGCATCTCTATCATCAGGATGCTGTAAAAAAACACGAACCAATGCAGAACACGGCAAGCGTCACCTTTTTAGCTTTTTCCTGCATTTCCCTGTCTGTTTACCCAACTGTTACGGGAAAAGTGTTGTCACACACTGAGCTCGGCGATGTCAGATGCCTGAGCTCAAATATCGGAGCCTATGACGAAGAAATAATAAAGAACGTCACGGGATTTCCATGACTCTTGGCCAGCGTCTTCATTAAGGCCCTGCTGACGGAGGAGGCCCTCGTGACCAGCTGGCCCACGTTGCACCAGATGACGGATGACGGTCGCTGTCGGCACACTGCCATTACAAACAAAACTGCAGTGCGCTTTCACCAGCTTTTGACCTGCAGTTCAAGTTATTTCATTTCTCCCCAGGTTCCACCGTCCCCACGCGGCTCGACTGGTGGTCTGTCAGGGTCGATGACCCGGTACGTCTCCTTGTGTCTGTTCCATCTTTTTCTTTGGCGTATTCTTTGTTCGTGCTCCGCATCGTTTTCGCTTTTCCAAACAGCTCAGTACTCGTCACACTTTCTCAAAGTGACTTGTAAATGCGTGTTGGCACGGTTTGTAAATGGCAGTTGCCTCCGGTTGGTCAGTAGTAATCCGCACAGTGTCCTCACTAAGACCATGAACCTGACGAGCTAATAATCTTGTGAAGTGGTAGACACAAGCGTAATCATACCTCGACTACAGCTAACATGTATAAACGGAGTTCCTCTATTTTGACCGATTACACTGTAACTCAAAGAGTGATTGAAAACGGACAGCCTCAAGCGGTGCACAGCTACAAGCATGATCTTGAGCCGACAAACTTTATGCAGCATATTCAGTTGAATAACGAAGCTCGCTTATGTGGGAAAAACCATGTCTCAGTTGCGTGTCGGGCCAGGTTTGAAACCTCACGAACTAATGCCTGTGCATGGCGTTGTGCCTTGTTTCGCCCCGGATTCGTCGCATTTCGATCGCTCAGTTTCATTTGAATGCAAGGCCCATTTTCACAATTGCTATCTTGTTTTTACATGGATTGTGATGGTTAGTGATTGAATGCCACTTGAACTAAGTTGTAGCAAAACCAACCTTCTGTCGCTTGCCACATCATAATAGCCAATAGACTCCATTCGGGAGGAGTTTTGCATACTATTAAGATGAATACGACTGATGACCATTGGTTATGATGACTGTGATGATGATTATGACTATGATGACAAAACTGCATCTGAGCATGGAAAAGTTGGGGAGAATTAATAGCATTATGCGATTTTCCGTTCGCTTCGTACAGCGCGTCACCAGGGATGGTAAGGTAAATTGGTACACACGTCAGATGTGGGTGTGGCCCAGGGACGCTTCGCCATAAAACGGATCGGCTAAACCACCAATCAGAGGACAGCTTATTACCAGTTTCAATCCAAACGCATATTCTGTTGGACATCACATCAGCGGCCAAATATGGAGGCATGCTTTAACCGTGGAGAAATGCGTGATCCAGCGACGAGGCGAGGCTACCATTTAACATTTCTCCTAAGCTTACGCAACACTTCAACGCTGATAGAGTGGCTCCATCTATGGATGGCTCCAGAGTACGGTTTATTTCGAAGAAGCGGAAGCCGAAGCGCGGGAATTTGATGTTATTTGATGAGGTGTTCTGCGTATATTTTGAGGGGGGAGGACCCGCTTGTACGTTGTTTGAGGCCCGAATGCTTATGTTCGTGTTGTGTGTCATGAAAGCGGTCTGTTTATTGCTTTCTGTAGCACGTATGGTATTGCATGGTGGTGCGAAGCTAGGACGGAAGTCATGAATGGAAAAGGTCAGTGAATGCATTTGATGTGAATTGCAAACAATTGCAAATGAATGCAACAGCCATTAATTAAAGGCCTACTGAATCACACCGAGTACTATGCTGTGCCAATTCACAGCGCCACTGAAACATCACGCATTGTACGGTTGGATCGGACTTCGCGCTTCGTGCACCGAATCGGCGCTGTCGCATGCTATAAGCAATCTATGGTTAATTATGTAATCGATCACAATTTATCAAACTAGGCTTGGGTCGCGTGACGTCAGCTATCAACAGGTGCTACCGCAATGGAAGGGTCGAATCGAGATTAGTGAATGATTGAACATGTTTGGGTTTCGTCGGTAGCAATGCCTCCCTGTCGATCATGAAATGCGGTTGGAAAACCAAGATTAGGCTTGATAATCTAAGCTGAGGCGTCAGAGGCGTTTGTAGATGTGCGAAGCCAAACAGCTCTGGAGTCGTTTGACCACTGTCGAAAAACCCAGCAAACCGTACCTAGGAACTGGATTAGTTAGGAGAAACAGTAGATCGTGTCAACGATCCAGCCATATCCCAGAGTCGGCCAGAAGCTCAAGCGAAGGCAACATGACAGAACCTCGCATCACGTATCTATCCCAAACGTTATGCCTATGCATAGCTCCGTAGCGCTTGTCCTTGGATCGCCGTCCCCATGAATATGTGCATCGCAAAACCTCTTACCCGTACGAGTTCGCGCGAACAAATCTTCATATCGTAAAAATCGCGCTCCCTT